ATTTAAGAGACCCTCAGGTAAGTTGAATATTGTTTTGTTAAACGTGCCTACCAAACATTTGTATTTCATCAACGAACTGGCTCAACGGCTAGACAATCGTCGAGTCGCAGAGGAGAACGCCTCCGTGGAAAACCGATGGCGATAATTGCAGGACACCGCCGAACGCTCAACTGCAAACGGGCTCTTGGTGTTGGATGCTGGAATGTGCGAACACCGCCAGTCAAATCGATTACATTCTAGTTGGTTCACGTTTTCACATTTGAGTCCACGATAGCAGGTCGATGGTAGGTGCCGCAACTGGTAACACCCACGGCTTTGACCATGTTGTCGTTCGCACACGCCTGAGGGTTCACCTCTAATTGACGCCCAAAATGCCACGTGCAAGACGCCGGCAATCCAGCACTACCAAGGCCCTTAGCACAGAAATTCGGTCCTGCTTTACGGCCCAAGCTGACAGCGAAGGCAGTAACAAGTGGTCAGCATTGAAGAAACCCGTCTATGGGGCAGCTGATAAAATTATCGGCTTCACTCATTGGCGCCGGAGTGACTGGATCAGCGGAAGAATCCTGCAACTGTCTGCTGAGACTACTCGAGCCAGGTCCCGAAACGATGCTCCCTTCCCCCAACTCCGAAAACTAAAAGCAAAGTCGGGTAGAGATGACAGGCAGAAGTATTGGCCTGAAACGTCGATTTCTATGGAACAGGCTTCAAATGTTGGTGACATTCGAAAATTGTACCAAATCATCCGTCAAGGTGGCGGTAAGTCCCCGACCCTCTGTGATTCTGTTCGTGATGTTAAGGTCAGCTTTCTTGCTGACAACTTGGCCAAGGGTTCCACAGGGAAGCGTTCTGGGTCCCATTCTATTTTTGGTATATGTGAACGACTGCCCTGACTGCCTCACCTGTGAGAAAGTCATGTTCGCAGACGATCTAAAAATTTGGAAGCCAAGCAAAAGCTCGGAGGATGAACAGACTTTACAAAATGACTTGGATCGCTTGCAGAAGTGGTGTGAAAAATGGCTACTGCATCTCAATTTCACTAAATGCCAAGTCCTC